TACAACCGTCCGCCTATCAATCTATATCTTCACCACCCCTCCTTCAATAACCTCGGTTTCCTTCTTAATCCTAACCCCAGTGGCCTTCCTAAACGCCTGCATTAGAGCCTCGACTTTGGACAACTCTAGAAAGAACAACTCATTCCCTGCAAGCATACCAAAAAAGGGTCTCTTGCCCGAGGGAGGTTTTTCTATTGCCTGGCTGACCTGCAAGAAGAACAGTCTGAGTCTATTTCTCCCAACTCAACCATCTTGACAATAACTCCCGCTGTTTACAAGCGGGGATTGGGAGAATTTTCACATTGGCCCAGTCAAAGGTTCGAATTTGCAAATAAGCCTCACTCACTAACCATAACTGAAATGATCTTTTTGATGTGAAAAAGTAGAAACACCCTTCTTAAAGTTTATAAATTACTAAAATAAATTAGAATAAAATGACATTAATACAATTTCAATTACAATACAAAAACAACACATCCCAATTCAAATTTCAAACTAAAGTATCTTTCATTCTTTATTTTCTCCCACACAACTATCAGTTCTTTCATTCTTCATATTCTTTAACAATAAAACCTTAAAATTTTAACACGAATATCTCGTGAATATCCATTACTTTGAATCAGTTAATACATTTGCTTATATTTTATGTCATTTTCGTTAAATTAGTTTATAATTTAAATTATTAAACTTTATTTCTACTTATTTTAAAAACCTTATATACATATATACAATTTATAGGGCAAATTTATAATTTTTTAAGCAAAAAAATAAAAAAAAATTATCTAAAAATTATGGCCATCTATTACCCGAGGAAATACAAGGAATTGACTCATTGAGCCTACCATATTTCCATACTAGGCTTTGACTACTTAAAATCATAGTACAAGTTAAATACCAAAACTCAAAAATACCCTCATTACCAACCATCTAACAGTTTGAGACAGAAAAAAAAAGAAATTGAAAATTACTCACACAGTATATAGTAGGGATCCAGACGAAGTACCCTTATGGTCAAATCCAACGCTGACCACCACACATCGACCATTGTCTTCAACAAGGTTAAGTTTTTTTTTTTTTTTTGGAATTATGAGATTGAATTTTCATTTATTGTTATGTATAATGTTTATTTTTCATTATTTAGGTAGATCATTGTGTTAGATTTAGGTTCATATGTCATCTTTTCTGAAGCTTCCGACGAGAAAACAGTCGGCCTCCTAACTTTTTTTTTTCATTTTCTTTTCAATTTAAAATTATTTAAATTTTTTTCTTTTTATGATAAAATTTAGTTTTTAAAATTTTAATTATATTCTTTGTCAATTTAATTTTCTTCAATTTTAATTAAATAATATTTATATTATTTATTTAATTTTCATACTTTCCTTTTGTTTGAATTATATATATATTTTTTCATAATTTCCTTTTGTTTAATTTTTTAAAATAGTTTTAAAATGTCTTAATTGTTTATTTTTTTATTGAACATTATATTTTTTTCTGACAATTAACAATTGCCGTCTTAAATAGTCGGCCGAAAGCGCTTTTTTCATTTTCATTTTAATTTAAAATTATTTTTAATTTGTAATTTTTATGATAAAATTTAATTTTCGAATTTTAATTATATAATATTTATATTCTTTGTTAATTTAATTTTTTTTTCAATTTAAAATTATTTTTAATTCTTAGTTTTCTATATATATATTTTTTATTTTTGTCAGTAATTTGATTCGCTTAATGTTTTGAAATCATGCCTATTCCATTATCTATTGTTGAATGTTCTAATATTTGAATTTTTATAGGATGGAATACCATCTAGCTGTGGAGTTGAGATAGATGGCGGGAAAATGTACGTGGAATAGTAACTTTGACGATTTTACTCATGTGTTAGAGTTGCTGGATGATGAGCACACAGATATCCTACGCGTCAGGAAGTACACCGGGTATAAGGATTATCTATTATTGATGCATTACTATGTCGCCTGCTTAGGCTAGTTGACGGCAATGCCTTTTACTTCGACCTCAAGGTCAAGGTCGCTACTTTCTCCCTATTTGAATTTGCTCTCGTGACTAGACATAGGATAGCGGGCGACGAGGCAGCTACGAACAGCACCCAAAGAAGCAATGGCTGCACGAGACATATTTCCAGGGACATGTGACGGTGTTTCTACCGCACTTGATCGGCGTAATTAGGGAGTGTGACCAGATATTGGATCCTTTTGAATACAAGATGGATTCGGGATTTCTATTTCTCGACAATTCAAATATTTCAGTTCCACCGATAAAGGTCACATCTAAAGTGCAAGTGAAGTGGCTAATTCAATTGAACAAAAACCATAGTTTTCTTCTTTGTGTAACTTTAGTGATGAAGAATATCCCCTAAAATGAACACGAAGCATTTGATGAAGTGGATCGTAATCTGGATGATTTTTGGGACATAGTAGAGGTAGATTGAGAGGATGACATAGTTATTTCATAGACAATTGCTACACACAATGATCTCTTGAACTTTTGAAGTAGTTCAGGACAATAAGGAGGAAATCTCATTTACAAAGCATGATCTAATTACTTTATTCAGTTAGAGACATGAGTGAGTTGTGTACAAGTAATAAAGGGATAAGAGATATCATACCCACGATGATGGAACTACTTGTGCTAAAGTGATTTAATACTAACTCATCAAAATTTTAAGAACACAAACAAAATTCTTTGATCATTTTAAACATTTAGTTAATCATTTAAATGAAAGGCAAATAGAAACAATAAAAGCAAGTTAAGGTGATTTTTTTTAAAAAATAAAATCAATTGATTAACGTGTTGAGATTCATTATTTCACTTAATTCGTTGTCCAATTAATTTCGTAATAAGTAATTTAACGTATTAAACATTTGTTACTATGGACCTCATTTTTGTATTTTAGATAATTACATTTCTTGAGTATTAAATTAGCCCAAAATTGAGTTCATTAACCTACTATATATCAACTATAACACGGATAAATCTCTTTAATTTGTTTAGACAAACTCATTTAGGGTTAGGAGTATATCTCGATTTCCTACAAGAATTTATAGTGCTTGCTATCTAGGCTAAAGTATCTAATAACCCCTTGGAGATTAAATACATCACTAAATATGCATTTAGTGATCAAGCAATTGAGAATAAATTAAACATATAGCAAACACAACATGTAATAGGTAACATGAAATTGAAAAGTAAGAATCTTGTTATCTTAACTGAGAATGCCGTTACTTATAGTCTTTTAATGGCAGCTAAACATTGGTCGAGACTCACATGACAGTCGATACTCAGGATTTCGTTTAGTTAAGTGGTCTGTAGACCCACCTCACCCTAATTTAACATCTGCTTGAACTCCCGATCTACTTTTAAACAAAAAACTTCACGAGCAGGATTAGAAGATTAGTATATGAATTCCCTGGTTACTTTCTTTCCAGAGCCCCGCATGAGCACAAGCCAAGCTACTCATGCCAAGCAGCTAACTTTGAGACAACTAAGGGCAAACTTCTAGTTAGAACTAATGGATTAGCATTAATATTAAGTTTGTTAAAATTAATTAAACTAATTTTAATTTACATCAAGAATTCCAACATCTAGAATTTTAGCTCATAATATAAAGCAAAATTAAATTACAAGAAATAAAAAAAAAAATACATTGCACAATTGAGGAAATTATAGATAAAACCAAAGAAAACACTTCGAACTCGTCCTTTGGTTGGATTTTGGGGGTGAAATCTTGCTTTGAGCTCCTTCCTTCAATATCCCCAAATTTTCTTCTAGTTTTTCTCTTGTATAGTCTTTAGGCTCTACTACAAGTACATCGGGGGGTACATAAGGGTGTCCATAATGGACACCCGGCACTTCATCCAATAGGAGGGTGCCGGGTGTCCATTATGGACACCCTTATGGCACCCCTAATGTATAAGTATCATTCTTTCCCTCCATTGAACATCCAATTTTTTTCAAGAACTTCCAAAGTTGTGAAATGAAGTCCTTATATAGTTGTTTTGTTTCCCTAGAAAAATTTTGCAAAAGATGGACAAAGGTGCTCTTAATAATCTAGCATAAATACATATTTAGTCCCAAAAAATCACTATTCCCGATTCTACCATGCCGCTAGAATGGACAGAGAAGTCCTACTTTTAGCCTTTTGGCCTCTCTAGTAGATATAATATCTAAAGAAGTGGATTGCACCGTTTGATTCCGGATGATTCTAACAAAAGTGCGCATAACTCTTTCTAGATAACATTGAATTGGGATCCGTAAAAAGTGTTTGAACTCCAAACTCGATGAACATTCCATTTGTATATAATATTCCTAGTAAAAAATTTGACATCAGTCCTTGAACTCTTCTTCTCCATGTTTCGAGCATATTGTGAGCATACAAGAGTTGGACGTGAAAAATTGGCTGAGAAAGCCAACCAACAGGGAAAAGCTAAAATTGCCTATGCGGAAGTTTCTAGAAGCTTGCGGAGAGGGCTGGAACTTTCCGGTAATTTAAGGAAATATCTAGCAACTTCAAATGGGTAAGAAATCTCCCCAACATTCTAGAACTACCTAGAGAATGTACCTAAGGTATGGGAAGATTCTAGAACACCCTAGACATAGTTGTATGCTTGAGAATTGTATAGAGAATTCTAGAATCTCCACCACATGTTAAGGAGGTGGGATGCCTATAAATACCCACCTAGGCCATTTGTAATGCACATACATAAACACATAGAAAAAGTGCTCTAGTGCTCTATTGTGCTCATTTGTACTCTTAACTTGTAAATACCATTTGTACATAATAAAAGCCTCTCTTTGAGCATTCCAAAACTCTTGTGCATTGTGAGAAAGTGTGCCTATCTAAGCTTCCATTTTCTGGGAAGGCTGACTTAGTTGGATTTTGGGGAAACCAATCGACTAAGTACCGCACGAGGACAAGCTAAAGTTCTTGTACCGTGACACGTGGTATCAAAGCCTAGGTTATATTACAAGGGGTGTAAGTAACCATGTCTAGGAGCGAAGTGGAAGTTGGCAATGTCACCGAAGTGCAAGAGGAACGAGGGCGTGAAGAGACCCGAGTTCAGCCAAAGAAGAGGGCAAAGTCCAAGGAGACCAGGGGTGAGACAAGTGTCTCTGCGGACACAGTTGAGGCCTTCAATACAAGGCTAGCCAAGGTGGAGTTGGCCATGGGGGAAGTTTTTGACACTCTTGACTCGTGGGAAGAGGAACAAGAGAATAGGAACGAAGAGATAAAGGAGCTTGAGGGTCGACTACAAGGTGTGTTCAATTCTTTTATTGATAGTATGAATAAATCTATGGAAGAATTTTGTAGCACCATTAGAGGGGAAATTATGTCCCTAAAGGAGGAACTTTGTGAGGTAAAGAGAGACCTCACATTAAGCAAGGCTGTCCTAGCCGTGGGAGCATCGACGAGTGCTACCCCAAAGGTTAAAATCCCCGAACCACCAAAATTCGGGGGTAAACGAGATGCTAAAGAGTTGGATAACTTCATTTGGGCAATTGAAAGATATTTGGACGCCATACACATAACGGATGACGCTACCAAGGTAAGTACCTCTACCTTATATCTTGAGCATGATGCCATCCTATGGTGGAGACGAAGGCATGCCGACATGGAGAGAGGGCTGGTAGAAATAAACACTTGGGATGCATTCAAGGGGGAACTAAAGAAACAATTCTACCCCAAAAATGCGCAAGAAATGGCTATAAAGAAATTACGTGGGCTTAAACATACGGTTCTCTCAAGGACTATATTAGAGAGTATTCATCGTTGATGTTGGAAATTCTGGATATGCCCGACAAGAGCCGCTTGTTGTACTTTCTTGATGGATTACAACGATGGGCAGAACAAGAGCTTAAAAGGCGAGATGTCCAAGATTTTACTAGTTCCTTTGTGGAGTTTTCAAAAGAATATTCGAAGAAAGATAAGGTAAAGAAAGGGAATAACTTTAGCAAGGGTAGGGGAGACAACCACATGGCAGCCAAGCCTTTCAAGGGAAAGGAAAGGCAAGGAGAGGGCAACAAGGAACAGCCCAAGGCACGAATCGACTGTTTCCTGTGCGGTGGGCCGCACTTTGTAAGGGAATGCCCAAACCGTAGTAAGTTAAATGCTATCATATCCCCCTGTGAGGGGATCACTTAGCAAGGTGAAGGTACCCAGTTGGGGTCACTGCATGTACTTACCGCGATAAAGGCCAGGGCGCAAGAAAAGCCTAAGGTTAAGGTAGCTAAGGCCAAGGTCGAGCCCAAACTTCGACCAGGTAAGACCCTAACCTACATTGATGCCAAAGTGAATGTGGCAGATATCAAAGCATTACTAGATAGTGGTGCCAATCAAAACTTGGTGTCAAGCGATGAAGCGGGAAGATTCGGTCTCAAATTCGCCAAGGAACCTAGTTGGATCAAGAGGTGGACCAACCAGCAAGGCCACTACTTGGCATTGCCCGAGGAGTCCCGATGAAAATAGGCACTTAGATTGGCATGATTGATGTGAACATTGTGCCAATGAAGGATTACAAAATGGTGATCGGCCTGGACTTCATGGAGAGAGTCCTGCCTTTCTCTCTCACGGATGATGGGTGCATACAATTCGGGAGTGGTGGAAAGAACCACAAGGTTACCGTAGAGCGCATTCCGGTGAACGCTAGAGTCCTCTCGACTATGCAAGTAAGTAAAGGGGTCAAAAGAGGAGAACAAACCTACCTTGTGACGTGCAAGAAAGAAGGTGAGTCCCTTGATTCTCTCGACATTCCTTCTGAAGTCCATAACTTATTGCGAGAATTTGAGGATGTTATGCCCATGGAACTGCCCAAGAGACTCCCACCTAGGAGGGAAGTGGATCATGCTATAGAGCTGGAACTTGGTGCTAAACCTCCAGCTATGGTACCTTATCAAATGCACCCCCGGAATTTGAGGAATTGCGAAAGCAATTGAAGGAACTACTGGATGGAGGGTACATTCGTCCCTCCAAGGCACCCTATGGTGCCCCAGTACTATTTCAAAGGAAACATGATAGGAGCCGTCGAATGTGTATAGATTATCGGGCGCTGAACAAAGTAACTATTAAGAACAAGTACTCTATCCCCTTGGTGGATGACTTGTTCATCCGGTTGGGCAAGGCACAGTGGTTTACAAAGCTGGACTTGAGATCGGGCTACTGGCAAGTGCGCATTGCCGAAGGTGATGAGGCTAAGACGACGTGTGTAACCAGGTATGGCTCATTCGAATTCCTAGTCATGCCATTTGGTCTTACTAATGCGCCCGCAACGTTCTGCACCCTCATGAACAAGATTTTTCACCCATTCTTGGATAAATTCGTGGTCGTATACTTGGATGACATAATAGTCTACAGTGAAAGCTTGGACGACCATGTCCAACATTTAAGGAAAGTGTTCCAAGTGTTGCGAAAAAATGAGCTATATGTGAAAAGGGAGAAATGCTCATTCGTGCAACAGGAGGTGATGTTCTTGGGACACAAGATTGCTGGTGGGAAGATCAACGTGGATATGGCCAGGGTACGTGCTATTATTGAGTGGGAACCTCCCAAGATGGTAACGGGATTGCGATCATTCCTTGGTCTAGTTAATTATTATCGAAAATTTATCGAAGGGTACTCTAGAAGGGCGACACCCTTGACTAACTTGCTTAAGAAGAATGTCCCTTGGACGTGGGATGATGAATGTCAATGGGCTTTTGAAGACCTTAAGCAAGCTGTTGCAGCCGAACCAGTGTTAATGCTGCCTGACTACTCTAAGCTTTGAAGTTCACACAGACACATCGGACTTCGCCATTGGGGGAGTGCTAATGCAAGATGACCGCCATCATTCATTGCTTACGGGTGTGGAGGCATTACTTACTTGGGAGTAGGTTTGTAATCAAGACAGATAATGTTGCAATGAGCTACTTCCAGAAGCAAAAGAAGCTCACCCCCAAACAAGTGAGATGGCAAGACTTCTTAGCCGAGTTTGAGTATAAACCGGGCAAGACCAATGTAGTTGCGGATGCGTTAAGTCACAAGGGGAAATTTGTTTCAATCACTAGTGTAGGAATTAGCCTACTCGAGCGGGTCAAAGAAGGCATGGCTCATGATGATTTTGCTAAGAATCTACTACAATTATGTAAGGAAGGCAGGATGAGGCGATTTTGGGAGCAAGATGGGTTAGTATACACTATTGGAAATCGTCTCTTTATTCCGCGATGGGGATGGGAATTGATGAAAGAGTGCCATGACTCAATGTGGGCTGGTCATCCGGGCATCCAAAGGACCGTGGCATTGATTGAAAGATCATACTATTGGCCAAGAATAAAGGATGACATTGAAGCATATGTAAAAACTTGTCTTGTGTGCTAGCAAGACAAGGTGGAGCAAAGAAGGCTTGCGGGATTGCTAGAACCATTGCCTACACTAGAGAGGCTATGGGATAGCGTTACAATAGACTTCACCTCGGCGCTACCTAAGTCAGAGGGATGTGGTTCCATCATGGTCGTGGTGGATAGATTATCCAAATATGGAACATTCATTCCTACCCCGCGAGATTGCAAAGCAGAAGAAGCCACACGTTTGTTCTTCAAGCATGTGGTAAAGTATTGGGGCCTTCCAAGAAGCATTATAAGTGATCGAGACCCGCATTTCACGGGGAAGTTTTGGAGAGAGTTGTTTAAGATGATGGGATCAGACCTCCACTTCTCTACATCATTTCATCCGCAAACGGACGGACAGACGAAAAGGATCAATGCATTATTGCAGTTATATCTACGACACGAGTGCCAATCAGCGGGATTGGGCAAAGTTGTTGGATGTGGCACAGTTTTCCTATAACCTACAGCGTAGTGAAGCAACGCAGCAGAGTCCCTACCCCTAACGCCTCATGCCATAGCAGCGGATATACAGGTTCAAGTCCTTCAGCATATAAATGGGCAAAGGGTTGGCATGAGCAACTCGACATGGCAAGGGTTCACTTGGATAAGGCCTCGAAGAAAATGAAAAAGTGGGCTGATATGAGAAAAAGGCCTTTGGAGTTCCAAGTGGTTGACCTTGTGATGGTTAAGATGCCCGCCTCAACAATTCAAAGCCTATCGTCAAGTGCACAAAGGGCTAGTGTGACGTTATGAAGGTCCCTTTCCAATCGTCAACAAGGTTGGAAATGTCTCATATCAAGTGGAATTACCTCCACAATTGAAGGTTCATCCCATCTTCCACTTAAGCATGCTAAAGCCTTATCATTGGGACAAGGATGACCCAAGTAGAAGAGAGTCACACCGTGCGCCGCCCGTCATGATTACTTCATACGACCGTGAAGTGGAAAAAATACTAGCGAGTAGGATCATTCGGCAGCTGGGTGTTCCTAATCATATGGAGTTCCTAGTAAAATGGAAAGGCTTGCCTGATGACAAGGTAAGTTAGGAAAAGAAAACGGACTTATGGCAATTTAAGGAGGTTATCGACACCTATAAAACTAAGCATCTTGACGACGGTGTCAAGGACGTTGGTGGGGGAGAGTGTGAGCATACAAGAGTTGGACGTGAAAAATTGGCTAAGAAGCCAACAGAAAGGGAAAACACTAAAATTGCTTATGTGGAAGTTTCTAGAAGCTTGCAGACAGGGTTGGAACTTTCCGGTAATTTAAGGAAATATCTAGCAACTTCAAATGGGTAAGAAATCTCCCCAACATTCTAGAACTACCTAAAGAATGTACCTAAGGTATGAGAAGATTCTAGAACACCCTAAACATAGTTGTATGCTTGAGAATTGAATAGAGAATTCTAGAATCTCCACCACATGTTAAGGAGGTGGGATGCCTATAAATACTACCAAGGCCATTTGTAATGCACATACATAAACACATAGAAAAAGTGCTCTAGTGCTCTATTGTGCTCCTTTGTACTCTTAACTTGTACATACCATTTGTACATAATAAAAGCCTCTCTTTGTGCATTCCAAAACTCTTGTGCATTGTGAGAATGTGTGCCTATCTAAGCTTCCATTTTTTGGGAAGGCCGACTTAGTTGGATTTTGGGGAAACCAATCGACTAAGTGCCGCACGAGGACAAGCTAAAGTTCTTGTACCGTGACAATATGCTCTTTTTTTGGTCATTTTATTGACCTTGGAGTGTCTACACTATCACTTCAAAATATCTCTTTCTTCTTGATTGTCTTTTATTTCTCACCTTTCATTGTTTGGCTCTTGATCCTTAATTCAAAACCTCAACTTCTTCGCATTTTTGTGCCGATTTCACCATTCTACCTCTAGTTCGGGAATGTCACCCTACAATCATAAAAATAAAATATAATCAACTCAAAAAACACTCAGAAAGTTAAGAAAAGATTCTACTTTGACGTGAAGATATGTTTAAGGATTACATTCATCAAAATTAAACTTTTACTCATCCTCGATCACTACTAAGCTAATTCATAAATAAACGAAAATGACAAGGAAATGCATCTCGATAGAATATCGTGCTTTTTGATNATTAGATAGTAAATTGCTTATTGTAGTGTAAGAATACTCACAATAAGCCTAGAACGCTGCAAAATCAACACATAAACAATAGGTATTAGGAATAATATCTATAACATGTACAATCATGTATGATAAATCCTGTGAATCAATACATGTTTTTATATGAATTTGGATTAGAAATAGGATCGGGTATTGTTAAACATAAGTTTAATATATTTTGGAAAAGAATATTGAATAACAGTGAATTATCGATTGTTTTGAATGCGTGAATTTACTAAATTACGAATTAAGAATTAAATTAAATGACAATAGGGGAATTCACAATTCCAATACAAACATTTGCATATTAAGGGTGAATGTGCGGTTGAAAAAGAAGGAAAAGTTATTGATGTGATGGAAAAGAGAAATGTTATTCATCCCCACTGGGGATGCATCCCCAATCTATGTGGCGTTAATGTGGCATTAAATGATAGGTAAAATTAAATAAGTCATTTAATTTCATCTATCATTTAACCAATCATTTACATCCACATATATTAGGATGCATCCCCACTGGGGATGAATAGCATTTTTCTTTTTTGAATCAACGAACTCAGGTATTTGGTAATTAACCCAATTAATTAATTAATTATATATATATATATATATGGAAGGACTTTTAATGAATAATACCAATTTTTTTAGTGCATTAATTATTCTCTAATTTGTGGTTGGCGACCGATGTTGAGCACCAGTTTAAGGGTAATCGCATGACATTAAATGATAAATTTATTCATTTAAATATAATGTCACGTGATTCATTTAATTGAACATGTCAAATATGGTCATCTAGATGAGTGCTTTAACACTATTGGTGCTAGATATCATTATTTATAAACACTATTAAGAGCATCACAAATTAATTTAATACTATCATTAAATTTTCGGAGACTCTTTCCTATATATTTGACCAGTCATGGCTCATTCTACCACTGCATCTTAGTCCCCGTTTCACTTGATTTTATAGTTTTATATTCAGAAGATGGTATGCAATTTCAGTTTCTAGTGTCATTCAAATAGCCAATATTGTTTCATTATTCTTCAACTATGAATTTTCTTATTTTTATTTTATGTATTTATTTGAAAAAAAAATAAAATAAAATTGGGAGGGTATGTCAATTTTTTTTACTAATTGGCAATTGAAAAATATTGGCACAGGACATATTTGCTCGTCTTTTCATTTCGTGTTGGGGATTTTTGGCATTAAAATTAGTAAATGGAGGACCTTTAACTAGCTATGCTGTGAGATCTGCACCACCCACCTTTGATGTCATGACATTCGGAGCAGTCGGGGATGGAAAAGCAGATGATGCCAAAGTAAGTCTTTAGTTTCAAATATTATAGTGCTGTTTTGTTATTGTTCATTTTTATGCTATAAGCAATGTTATGAAAATTGGACCGATCTGATCATTCAACCGAAAAAATAGAGACCAAAATCGATGTGATTATGTTTATAAAACCTCTAATTAAAACCCGCCCCAAAGCTCTTAAACCGATCAATTTTTGGAAAATCCATGACCCGTTCTTGGTTTAGTCAGTTCTACCTATGTAAATGTATAGTTTTAAAAGTTTTATAAATGTACATATTTTTAAAATTTTTTAAAACTCACATGTTCGATCCCGATTTGACTCTGATTCAACTTTTGACACTTTTTTTTTTTTCGAGTCGATAGTCAAATCAATTTTTAAAACATTGGTTATAAGCATTGGATTTCATAGAAATGTGAGTAAAAGTTGGGGTCCTACTAAATATAATAATATAACACAATTAAAAGTTATGGATTCTACCAACGTTTGGATAAAATATATTATTTGAGATTGCACTTACATTTTTTTCCGATAAATTATTAGGCTTTTATGGCAGCATGGAAAGCAGCGTGTAACCGAAGGACGAACCGTCCTAAGGTTATCGTACCGCAAGGGAAGACTTATTTGGTGAATCAAATCCAATTTGGGGGGCCTTGCAAGTCCCCGTCAATTAAATTTGAGGTATTAAAGTTATAATTTTATATGTCACAAGAAAAAAATATTTAAAAATAAAATTTTCGATATTAAACCTAATATTTCAGGTGCGTTAATTTCTATTTCATGGAATATTCATATATACACAAAATCTTAAACTAAGATAAACAAGATGCTATTTCTCTTCATGGAATTTTTATTATTGAGTAGTCAAATACTCTCCACTAGTCTCTTAAAGATATGTTTGTTTCTATTTTCACCCAAATTAAAAAAAACTTAATTAATATATATTGAAATTATAAATTTTACTTAAGTTTTTATTAATGTGCCTCTACTTTTGCAGTTCATATTTGTTGATAACAAGTCACATTAAATATGATTATATTAGAAAATTAAGACATTAATCATACTCTAAACAAGAGAAGTGACATATAATTTGGAACAAACATAAAAAGAAAGCAAGCCTATCTCTGTGAGACGGAGGTAGTATTATATATCTAGACATTAGTATTAGTAAATTGTACGTATCTAATATCATTTTTTTTTTCTATTTTCGAAAAATACCCTAAAATGTTTGTGGCAGATATTGGGAACTATTGTTGCACCTCCAAAATCAGCATGGACAAGCAAAAACCAAAATTATTGGCTGAGTTTTTATCTCATCAACGGTCTTAATGTTGTTGGGAATGAAATAGGAGTTGTTGATGGTCAAGGTTCTTCCTGGTGGGCGACTTTTGTGAGTTCTTTCGTGCTCTCATTTGCTTACTTAAATTGATTACTTTTTTCACTCTATAATTTATTACTTATTAGCTAATACTTTTATCATTTTCTATACATAAAAATTCTTTTTATCTTGACGTAAATATATTTATTTGACGGCAAACAGTAAAAACCTAAGTTTGATCCGTTAAAGAATTTAAATACTCTAACAATTTGGATTTTCTCTTCATTATCTAACTCCAACATGAATTATTTAAATAGTAAAAACAGGTATTGAACATTTGAATTGGTAATATTTTGAATTAATTATCATATTATTAAATATAAGTATCTTTTACAAAATGAATTTGTTACGCCTCGCCACCAAGACTCAAGTCAAAGTGCCACGTAGCAACCAACGTGAGCAGAAAAGTTAACGAAGAGCCAATGGTCAAAAATGAAGAAATCATATGAATGGCTGAAGCTCTTACGCCGAAACATTTCCAAAGTGGCTAAAGTGCGTGAATCCGAAGCGCTACATAAAGAAATGGAAGAAGCCGAAACTCTTCACACAGAGGACAAACACTAAGATTCCTCTGAGGCCCCTAATTCACTTGAAGCTCACGAAGTTGAAGCTAAAGCTGTCTCTTACAAGATCCTTAGGCAATCTTTAGAAATGATTGATGTAACGTGTGTAATAAAGAATGTCAGGTGTGTCAGCCTTTTGTATGGGGTGATTGATCCATTGTCAAGGTATTTATTGTATGATAGACAGTGATATGAAATCTCAATCAAGGAGAAAAATCCACGTGGTTCTGATCCAATGGACACCGCGTCGACCGAATCACTATAAATAGGTCATCTTTGTAATTGAAAAAGGGTTGGGTTCTTGAACTTTAGACTTTTGAACCCTTGATCCTTGATAATACAAATGATCTTACAAATTCTATACACATCATATTACTTTTTTTCCATATACCTTAGCTTGATCTTTTTATTGGTTTACTTTGGTATTCGATCGATGATTGTAGTTAGCACATTTATCTTTGTTCCAGACGCCAGTATTTGAATATTTTTGTCTCACACTGTGAAGCATCTCCCGCATTCACGTTCATCCCACTTCTTACCGGTGCTACGGTTGAAACACACCAGAATTTGCTTGAGTGGGTGTGAGTGGGCCCTGCATTTGTTGTCTATGTAAACGTCACGTTTTTTGGGATTAACAGATTGGCGCCGTTTGTGGGAAACCATACATTTTAACCACGGAAGTCTACTAAGAAGAAGCTAGTTGTAAGCGAATTGAAAGGAATTTTGTAACCCTTGAAAGATGGGCGTTCTTGAATAAAGAACCGTTGGAAAATCCAAAGGAAAAATCGTTTGGTACAAGATCAATTTGATCCTTGAAAAAAAGAGCATCTACTCAGAAAAAAGCTTGTTAACACGAGTTCAGACAGTGAAAAAAATGTACCCCGGAGGACGAGGGAACACCATGGAGAAGGAGAACCTTCACGTTCCCTCCCAACCGCTCGCCATCGGCCTCACAAACAACATAGGCGAGGTGGGTCAAGGGGTGGGGGTGGGATAGCAGCAAGACTTACTAGAGCAGCGACCACAATGACAGCCAATATGAGGAACATAACCCAGTAGAATATGGCTATGCATGAGCTGCTGATGAACATGTGGGGCCAAGGAGGATACCTAGTTCCTCTACATGTAGCCCTGAAATAGTATTCCATGACCTTTTACAAGGGCGCTACCATGAAGAAGATAATGTTCAAAGCCAAATGGCTAGATACCACCATTACACTAGGATTGAAGCCCCCTAGGAAAGGAAGGTTGAAGTTGATAAATTTACCAATTACGTCTCTGAATGACGTAATGAGGCTTCAATCAATTTTTCCCCGAATTGTGAACCAGAGGATTTACCTCAGAGGTCAGTAAGCGTCTTCGACATGTTAAGCCTAGGGACGCCTAGAAATAGGTAGGCTCGACCTCCTTCTATGCATAGAAATAGGCAACAGGAGCCTCTTTAGTTTGAAAGATGAGACGAACCTATTTACGATAAAGCGCCTCAGATCTCTCCGCCTAGAAATAGGCATGAGAGGTGAGAGGGGGCCAGAAGTGAACCAGGACCTTTCCATCCACCCTCGGAGACCCAATTTAGGGAAGATGAGGATTCTAATGAACTACAAAAGTCCTGCGATCTTGACGATGATGACAATAACTCACCATTTTCACAAGCCATTAGGAATGCCCCCATACTGAACCATTTTACACTTCCTAAAATTCCCAAGTATGACAGGAGAGGTGATCTCGTGAATCTTCTCTACAGCTTTACTACTCACATGAATCTAAATAGAACTACCCTAGCCATGAAGTGTAAAGCCTTCCACTTGACCTTAAGTGGAGCACTTAAATCTGGTACACTATACTACCAGAAGGATCATCCAAAAAAGACATTCCTTAAATCTTTTTGGATTTCAGAAAGACATTCCTTAAGTGCTTTGCCACAAGCAAAGAAGGAGAATGACATATCCAACGCTTGCAAGATATGCGGCAACAGCAAGGCGAGTCTCTGAAAGTGTTTTATCTCGCTTCACCAATGAGATGACCTACTGTGTGCAAGTGACAGATACAGAAGCTTTAACAGCCCTAAGAGAAGGATTGGACATGAACTTTCTCTTCTGGAGTGATGTGCAAAACAAGGACCCTACTAGTTATGATGTCTTACTGGAAATGATAAGGAGTGAGATCCTCAATGAAGAATTGAGGGATCATAGAAACAAGGCTAACCAAGGACTCTCCATCTCCTCAAATGCAAAGAGGAAGAGGCCAAAATTCACATTTAATGGACCATCAGGTAAGACAATTGACCTCACTCAACCCCAGACAAGCATTGGCTGTAGCGACGTAAAATGTAGTGTCCACTTTGGCCTATGAAGAAGTGAACCCTGGTGCTACAACGTACCGAGTAGACCCTATCAAAGATTTATCCAAACAAGGAAAGGTAGAGGGAGAGGCGCTGAACCTAGAAATAGGGATGAAGCGTCCCTCTATTGTACGTACCATCACTCTTATAATTACAGCACTAAAGGCTACAATGACATTGCGAGACACTCTCAGAGTGTCAGTCAAGAGAGAAACATGTGTCTCCAAAGAGATGCTCCTCCTAGGCAGACCCGACAACCTTGAAATGTGGAGCTGAGGCGCCCCAACAGAAACGACGCTCCCAGTAAGAAAGATATTGACGCTGAACGAACTAGGGAGGGTAAAAGACAAAGAAAAAGCACCATAGAGAATATTGGCCAAAAGGCCATCAAAGAAATTGATTCAATTTTTGAAGGCCCATACATTGAGGGAGAATTTAGTAACTCCTAGAGAAATTATACTAGGGAAATGGTGGACCCCCCAATAACAAGCTTTGTAGTCAACCGATCCGCTATCAAAAGAAAAGTTCAACTTATCACCTTCACCCAAGATGATGAAGCTGGTGTGCATTATCCACACTATGATGCCCTAGTGGTGATGGCCGCTGTAGCACGTAATTGCCTAAAAAGAATGCTAAAGGATAATGGAAGCTCTATCACCATCGTCTTTAGAGCCACTTTTGATCAGATGAAAGTTGATCATGAGTTGACCCCAATGAGTTTCCCCTTGTATGGCTTCACAGGCGATAGCATCATTCCGAGGGGTAAAAATCACTCTAACAATAGAGACGGGGACCGTATCCTTGACTGCTCACAATTTCATGGAATTCTTGGTGATGGATAATCGATCCGCTTGTCACAGAGTGCTGGGAAGGCTAGCCTCTAAGGAACTATAAGCCATCACTTCCATTCACCATCTATACATGAAGTTCCCAACCGAGAACGGCATAGCCACGGTTAGAGATGATCAAAGGAACGGGAGGGAATGTTATTCGAATTTCCTAAGGAAAGCCGAACTAAGAAGCATTAATGTGATCATCATAGACATCGACATAGACGATGTCCTTGAACAAAGGAAAATCCCTAAACAAAGGAAACAAGTCAAAGTGATGGATGCCTCTGAAGAAGGGGTCATCCTGGAGTTATACATACCTCTGAAGAAGAGGTTGTTTGTGAAGAATAGACGACCCCGAAGAAGGGATAGCTACTGATGAAGCAACTAGTTTGGAGGAGCTGGACACCCACATCATTGATTGTGAACCTCAAATAGCCCCTATGGAAAAACTGGAGAGCTTCCCAGTAAACCTACAGGACCCCTCTAAACATCTGCAGATTGGAAGAAATCTGCCAATAGAAGTTAAGGAGAAGCTGGAAAGTTTCTCTTTGAAAAATTTGGACGTCTTCGCTTGGAAACAGGGAAATATGGTCGGCATTGATCCAAAAGTCAGCTGTCACCGCTTGAACATTGATCCAAAGAGCAATGCACACAGGCAGAAGAGGAGAGCTCTCAACCCCAAAAAGATATGAAGCTCTAAAAGATGAAGTTAAAAGGCTTATTGGCAATCATTTCATCCGGGAGTCTGTGTATCCAAAGTGGATCTCTCACCTAGTGTTGGTCAAAAAGTACAATGAAAAGTGGAGGGTTTGTGTAGATTTTTCAAACTTGAATCAAGCTTGTCCCAAGGATAGCTTCCCACTTCCCCGGATAGATCAACTTGTGGATTCAACCGCCAGACATGAACTTCTTAGCTTCATGGGTATATATTTGGGGTACAATCAGATCCCAATGTTCCAACTGATGAAGAAAACACGTCCTTTATAACAGATAAGGGTTTTTAATGATACAAGGCCATGCCCTTCGGATTGAAAAATGTCGGGGCCACCTACCAAACGTCGGGGCCACCTACCAAAGACTTGCCAATAAAATGTTCACTAACCTTATTAGGAAAGCCATGGAGGTTTATGTGGACAACATGATGGTGAAGAGCTTAAAAGTAAGGGATCATGTCAAACATCTCAGCGAAACGTTTCAAATATTGAGGAGGTATAGGATGAGGATCAATCTTTTAAAGTGCTCATTTAGAGTTGCTTCTAGAAAATTTTTAGGCTACATCATCGAGCAGAGAGGCATTAAGGCCAACCAGAAAAA